TTAACATTTTTTCTAGACAGACTGAAGGACTGCAGCTATAGCGGACATGAATCTTGTTTAAATATTGAACGACCTTGACCTTGGGGGATAAAACCTGGCTATAGTACTGTACACAGTTACCGCACCTTGTGACATGGTGTGATATTTCTGCCTAGTATTTAAACTGCAAAACCTTCCTAACATGTGAGTTATGGTGTGGACAATATGAACTATTTAACATTTGACATTGAAATATGACCTTGACCTTGTGACAGGCGGACCCTTTTGTTGTATTCTCACATTATGTTATAATGGCGACCATTTGTACCAAATTACTTTCAAAACTTTTTTCAACAATTCCAAAGTTATAGAGCAGACACAAAATGTTGACTTTTTATATTTTACCTTTAAGTGGTGGGGACTAATGACCAGGCTGTTCACTCTGCCCATTGTGTCATAGTAGTGATCATTTGGATCAAGGTGTTTAAAAATTTGCCCGCACTTTAAAAGTTATAAAGCTGACTTGAAATCTTACAGACAGACAGACGGTTTACCCAATCCTTATAATCCCCTCCCTATTTAGGACAAGGGGATCAAAGAGAGAAAAAGGTCAAATACATCATGCTTCTTACCGCCCTAAATTCTGTGGGTCAGAATTTCTTGGAGATGTTGATTTGTGATAATGAGGTGATTTAATAATCAGAATAGCCTACTGAAGGTCACTGACACATGTGACACCTGAGGTTTACCTCAATGACAAATATGTTAACTTCCATGACTTTGAATCACCTGCACCTCACCACTGCAAGTGATATTTGAAACCTTTCAGAGACATTTGATTCATACATGTGATAAAGCTCATAAAACAAGCTAGTTTATGGAAGAACAGTGGTTATACATGTGCCTGAAATAATGCACAGATGGGCATCTGAAGTCCTAATTTCTTCATCAATAAAGCTGTGTAAGTCTTTATAATGATCTTGTATGTGACAGGGTGATACAAAAAAACCCATCTTACTGTAGTAATGGCTCTTGAATACTTTAACCAAATAATGTTTACTGCCAAACAAAAGCACAGTTCATGGATGGGGCGGGACTTTGTTACATTACCATAAATAAAAGGGCAACTGAGTGTCACATGTGTTTCTTTCTCCCCCTTTATTTCGTGTAACTATACACCAGTGAACAATAAATCACAAAAATTCTCCCCAATTTTCTCTTGCATTGAATTGATAGATCTCCAAGATTGTCAAGACAGAAACCATTTCTTATAGCAAAAATTCTATAGTCCAAATAACAGCATTTATATACAAAGTAGGTCAGACCGCCAATCGGACATATTTGGCAAAAACAAATAACGTTTAAATGATGTTCAGTCTCCGTAACAATTACCCAAGCTTATGTTTTGCCAATAATAATCTTCCATATCGATACATGTAATGTCAAACATAACACTGACAATTGGAAGGGAAGGTGTCTCCATTTCTGGTAGTTTTTTTGATTTTTGCTTTGAAAAAGATGGGGGGAAAATCTATTAGTAGCTAATGGTGACAAAGTTAATGTAAGGAAGCATTATGATTATTCATAGGTAAGAAACATTGATAAAGTCAGTGAAATATGTGTTGACCATGATCAAGCCCATACCATTGTGATTTAGGTCATAGCCTGCCAGCAGCAACTGATTCTACCAATGTGAGCAGTGCAGACCAAGATCACCTGTCACATTTGAGTCGTCTGCATAATCATAATTATCGTCTGCACTGTTTGCTTGTGAGTCAGTATTTACTTTTAAATTTTTCCCTAAAAGCAATGAATGGTTTTGTTCAGATTGAAAGACGGACAAGTCCATTTAAGAGATATTTAATGCGGTACGAGTTAAGCAAACCTATTTTCAGACACAAATAAAATACACAACTACTGCCTAAATTACTAGTGTCCACAACATATCATTTATTGTTATAGAAAAAAGATGCAAATGCCAAATAATAAAATCATGCATAAATGACAGAATGACTTTTATTATGGATTCATTTTAACATTTATTCAAAAATATAGGTGACCCGGTTAATTATACGCTTCATATGAATAGCTTGCTAGATATTAAAGACAGCCTTATAGTATGAAGTGAGAAAATTTACGACACAATTCCCCTGTGCATTTATATGAATTCAGGCTGCAGTATCAACTATATCTGTGATATTTTTACAGAAGAAGCCTTTAACATTCTCCTCAAATCATGGAAAAAATACCCTCTTCATGCATATGAATTTCTTCTAGTGCTTTAAGTGTTTGTCTTTTTTACTCAAGCACCATCAATAACTGAGATCTTGATCTCAGAATAACTAAACACATGTTTAAACACAATCTTTTAACTAGAGCTTCAATCTTGAACACAGACAATCCTTAAACTTGAGCAAAATCTTCAAACAAAAGCACAGAAATCTACAAACTTTAAACCACAGAAATCTTTAAACTTGAGTATGCAATCTTCTTTTAGTTCAGCGATGAACATCTTCAAACATCAGAACACAATTTTAAAATGGCCCCTAAATTCCTCAACCTATATGGGTCTTGTTTCCACTGTGTTTATATAATATTATGTAGAATGGACACCTTTTATTTACAGAATTTATTTTAGTTTGATTGTGTGGGAAGCTATAAGCTTAAAGACACCACTCTCAGATCTGCATTCCTGGGACCAACCAGTAATGAGCAATAAGAGTGAAGTTTCTATGACAATTAGGAAACAATAACTTGCCTCTCAGATGGGGTTTGAACCAACATGGTCAGCAATCATAGGTTACTAGTCTGATGCATTAACCACTCTGCTACATGATCAAATTCTACTATTTGTATACTTTATCTGGTTTCCTCTATGCTGATTTTATTTTACATTATGTTATGTTCACACACTCATGTGCTAAAATTATCTTAATGTTTGTTTCATTTTACGCCTTTTCCCAACAGTATTTCAGTCATATAGGCGGGTAGTTCCCTAAACATCGTTCCTGGAGAGTTACACCAGTACTAGACTATCTTCCTCCGCGCTAAACTACCAAAGCATCTCCCGGGGTTCGAACCCACGCCAGAGAGGTAACTGGATTAGTAGTCATCGACTCTAACCCCTCGACCACGGAGGCGTATATTATCTTAATGTAACAGTCCTGACCTACACATTCAAAAGTATGAATATTTCTGCTAGAAATTGTAAAAAAAAATTGTCTCAAATAGTGATAATATATTTAAAGAAATGTCTTTCCGAAGTCATGAAAGAGCAATAGAGCAGTGTTAACTGTTAACTATCAGACAGTAACATTGTTGTCTGGGGATTTCTGAAAACTTCCTCTATTTAGAATGACATTTGTACTTATACTGTTAATTGTACAATATGAGCTTTCACTCAATTGGAAGATATTCATTTAACCAATCAACCTTTGTCCTGCTGATGGCAACCAAATTTACCCAAACGACCAGTGCAGACCAAGATCAGAAAGCACATCCAGTTTGCTATTCAGTGACTTAATATTTTGAAATGCCTAAAAACAATTAATGGTTTCGTCCAGACCTTGACCCCAATGACCTAAAACTTCAACCAAAGTAAGAAAACCCTCTAAGATATTTCAAAATATGGAAGCAATATTGGTCATTAAATGAAGTTGTAAAAGTATGGAAGGACAAGATGGTTACTATAATTATACTCCCAAAAGTTTTTCAAGGAGCATAAAAATGTAGACTGACCCAAAAAGATAGGTGTATGATGGTACATTTTGTTACATTTTGTTACATTTTGGAAATTTGGGACACATCAGCAAAGGTGGAGAAAAGAGTAAATCCACATTTATCCACATTAATTATTAAACCAATCAGCGTATGTGAAGCCTCCAGCAGACAACAAATAACTTTATGCCTACCAAATGAGGACTAACAGACAATCACACTTAAATAATTGTACTAATGTTTTATTTCCTAACAGATTTACTGGTGAAGAACATTTGACCTTTGTTCAAGCCCCGGGAGTATCAGTATGTTCAATTAAGGAATGATTTATATACTTTCTGGGCTATAGTTGGTTCTCTTTACAATTACTGATATTCCCTTAAGACTGAATGTTCTAAATGTCAATATCACCATTATTTACCAGGGCAAATATCCGAAAATCATAAACTAACTTCTTTTTACCAAGTCATGGCATTTGGCTTTGAAACAGATCAACTTGAAAACAAGAAACTCTTGTTTCATTATTAAAAAGAAAAAAAAAAATCAAAAAAAATCAGTGCATTTAAATGCCAAGCAAGAAAAATTAATAAATTAGGTAATTTATACATCATTTTCATGGAAAATACATTCCTTAATTAAACTCCCCAGTTTTCTTAACAACAATATACCCCTTAAATCTTTAGCATCAGCACAATTATGTGTGCTTTATTTAAAGAAAAAAAAACAAACAAAAAGACTTTGAAATCCTTTCTTTCTGTTTAAATCAAAGGATGTTATATTCTCATTTTTTATGGCCTTATTAAACTAAGATAATAGAACATTTAAGGTTTGAAGTTTGAACATGTTTAAGATTAATAATATTTTTCAGTATTAATTAAGCTTCAAAAATATAACTGTAACAACAGAAATGTGAAGAAAAAGCAAAAAACAACAACAACAAGAGTTGTCCCAGAGAAGTTTGCTCAACTATTCAGTAATACAAGAATCATAACAAAATTTCTACAAACACAAAGGGGAATCATTACTTAAAACAATATATTATAAGAGTAATAGGTCTTGTCCACTGACCAGCAATTGTGACAATTGTTCAAAACATTAAACTGCATGAAATGTCCAAGTTTTTTTCAAGGACCATAACTCCGGTTACTTGGAGTATAGTTAAAAACTAAATTCTATTTTCAAGATTTATAATCAGCAAATCATTGTGAAGTTTGAATCCAATCCCTGCAAATGTTCTTGAGATAAAGTCTAAATAATACTTCAATGCAAAACAGTCTTTGAATAACCAAGCTGAAAACACTTACCGCTTTAGGTGGAGTGGTATAATAGAGTGGCATAGGACTCTTATTGACCGACACATCATCTGAACCAGTTGTCATGGTTTCTGAAGATGTTGTAGAATCTGTATCATCATCAAAATTCCATGCTGATCCTGAAAATATAAAAGTGTGTGCAATTAAAATCATAAAAACTATGTTATATAGGAAGATGATTATATTTTATTCAATGTCCCCAATTCATATTGCTCCCAGTACACAATGTCAGAAGCTCATATTGTTCGAAGTACACAACATCCCAAGTTTATATTGTTTCCAGTACACAACATCCCAAGTTTATATTGTTTCCTGTACATAATATCCCAAGTTTATATTGTTACCAGTACACAATATCCCAAGTTTATATTGTTACCAGTACATGATATCCCAAGTTTATATTGTTTCTTAGTACACAATATCCCAAGTTTATATTGTTACCAGTACACAATATCCCAAGTTTATATTGTTACCAGTACACAATATCCCAAGTTTATATTGTTACCAGTACACAATATCCCAAGTTTATATTGTTCTTAGTGTACAATATCCCAAGTTTATATTGTTACCAGTACACAATATCCCAAGTTGTATTGTTACCAGTACACAATGTCCCCAGTTTATATTGTTAGCAGTACACAATGTCCCAAGTTTATATTGTTACCAGTACACAATGTCCCAAGTTTATATTGTTACCAGTACACAATATCCCAAGTTTATATTGTTACCAGTACACAATATCCCAAGTTTATATTGTTACCAGTACACAATGTCCCAAGTTTATATTGTTACCAGTACACAATGTCCCCAGTTCATTATTGTTCCCACAAAACCCCAAGTTTATATTGTTCCCAGTACACAACTTTCCCTGTTCAAATATTGTTTCCCAGTATAGTACAACTTTGTTACCAGTACATGTTATATTTGCACTTTTTAAATTTTATATAATTATTTTTGCATTACAGAAAAGACACATGACATTTTGCAATTTTACTAATACTAAAATATTATGTAAATTATTATAAATGATCTCTTTCAAATTAACACACAATAAATGATGCAATTCTTGCAATAACAGTGTGATTAAATTTTCTGGAAAAAAAAAAAAATTCATTTTTTAAAAATTTCTAGAACAATTTCTCCTATTTCACGAGTCCACATCATGATATGGAGTTCAGTCTTAATTCAAAACCATCAATCTAGTCACAGAACATCTGAAAGTAACCAGGGAGAGAAAATTTAAACACACAAGATGCCTTTCGTTCCAATTAACACTTCCCCATTAGCACAGGCTCTGCTAACGACTTTGTTAATTATTCCAAGCAATTCCTACAAGTACCCAGTTAACTTTCCAGTTGATTATGTTTACTACTTTTATTATATAAAAAAAGATTTGTTTCAAGTTCCTGTTTCTGTTATTTTATAAATTGCAAACTTTTCGTTTTTTCTCTTTACAACCTTCCAGAAATAAATTTGATCTTTAATTTCCATTTTGTCTCTCTCTCTGAAATTACTCCAAAACTGAAAAAAAAAAAATCTTTCTGATCAAGCAAACTTGTCTTGTTTCGAGTACTGTGACACTTATCCGCCCCTTTTAACTCTTAGCCCCATTGAAAAAAATAAAAATTCTGAAAAATTTATGACGTTAAAAAGGAAATCCAATAAAAAAACATCACATCCGACATTAAGTTAACAAAAAATATATAATTCGATAAATTTTTCTACCGCAATAAAATCTATTATTACCCAATAACCTAATAGTCTAATTCTAGGGAAGTAAAAATAAGCCTTTATAAAACATTATCATCACATTTCATTCCTGTATTAAAATGTTTTAATAGTTCCGCCAAGAAATAAATTTCACATAACAGTAATTAGAAAGAAACATTATAATTTTTTTCCCCATTGAAATAGAGAGATTTTATGATCAATTTAAAGTCAATAACGAAATTAGTTTTTCTTGCAGTTTGGATTTTTAAACAATTTTAATACATCACTTTTACTATTTCTTTTATAGGGAAAAAAATCTGTATTCTTAATGGAATAAAAATTTATTTATTATTCTTTGCGGAACAAAAACCTCCATTGTTCTTAATGGAAAAAAAAATCACTGTGACAAACAAGAGCATAAATGAATGGAACTGAAAATCTAAATCAAAAATTTAATGAACGATTTTAAATGGGATCTTAAACTGGTTTCGACCAGCAAAAATGGTTACAGTCTAAGGCCACTAATTTATCCTATGCAACTAATAAAGGGGGATAACTGTTATTCTTTCACCAAGTAAATAAGTAAGGGTCCTGAGAACTAGATTTTTTCAATGAGCTTGCAAAAAATGTCGTTTATCTCAAGACACAAATAAAACATATTTCATTTTTTTTTTCTTCAAAATTTTATTTTTTCTTTTAAAAAAATACAAGGTTTTTCTAAATGCACTAGCTTTACCTAGACATATACACTGTTACAATATTGTGCAGTATTTTTTCTTATGTTTTTTTTTTACATCAACCAAACATCTTTTTTCCTAGTATTTTCAAAGATAGTATTTTTTACATCCTGAACTGTTCATCCCCAAGGTGAAAATTTGTTGACATGTGGAACATATTCTGTATCATGTACCAAACTAAGATCATAGGTTGTTAGAGAACATCTGATTGGTTCCATAAGTCAACAAACATGTTTGTTTCATCATCTATGGCAACCACTCTCGATCACTCAGCTGCATGCTATAAAAAGCTGCTATTTGCATCCATTCGGACATAAAGCTTCTGAATAAAATAGATCAAAAAAAGAGAAGAACTCCTGCTAATTGTTTTATTTTATCACCTCAAAAGAAGCAAAGAAACACCCTGCCAAGTGTTGACCATGCAAGAAATAGCATTGTAAGTTTTCCTTTATGAATGAACTCAATTTAGGTACAGTTGAACTTAATATTCATTACCATAACTACTTTTGAATGGACTAAGTTATTGATATGAGTTAACTATCCAGCTAGTCTGCAGAAGGTCCATGATTCCATTCAGGTGCCTAAAACGAGGACGGGCTCCAGGTCCTGGAGTCTTCCTCACCGGTAAAGCTAGAAAGTTGCTATATGACTTAAATATTGCCGTGCAAAAAAACAAAAACAAAACAAAAACCATTATCTGATATATTATAACATTAACAAGCAATTATCATAGGATTGCAAGCAATCCATAAGTCCCCTACCGGTAAGAGCCCAAGCAACATTCTGAAGGGCCATTGGTAGAGGTGTCATCGATAAGGATTTTTGTATTGATATATCGGTAATGAATCATCGGCGATACAGCGATATATCGATTGTCAGGCTAAATTTTAGCTTTCAAGTCTTTTTAAATGTTTCCTAAGGACACTGACAAAGCAGTTATATATAGACAAATGCAAAAAAGATAAACTATGAAAACTGAACAATTTGTTTCTTTTTTATCATATAGATATAAATGAAAACTAATGACTAGTAACTATAAAGTTTAAAGCCTTTTCCATTTTACTTTAGTTGTTGTTGTTGCTATTACGTAATTACTGATCATGCTAAATCCCGTCCATGCAGTTACAATAAGGCCGGGTTTAATTGGCAAATTATAGTGTGTAGAACCTGAATTATTATATATGTTTAATATTTTGTAATCATAAATGTTTCAAAAAAACACTGACAAATTTTTCTTGGCATTTCTACACATCCACTTAGCAGACGTGCGAGATTACAACGAAATTAGGCAGCATTCGTTAGAGACACTGGGAAGTAACTTTGGCATTGATTTCCATTTTAATTTAAAAAAAAAATGGTTCTGGCATTCTTAACTTTATATGTCGCTTTTATTTTGATGTTTTGCGACAGTAAACAGGTCTGTCAGTTCTATAAAACCTGTTCGCTGAAGTCTCTTTAGCTAGAAATTATATGTGCATTCGATATCCGATATTTAAAAAATGGAATCGATATCGAATCGGATAACAAAGATCGTTGATACACCGATATCGATTGAATCGATGACACCCCTAGCCATTGGCCATTCACTTAGGTTCCTATTTTAAGTAAATTTGTTGAAAAAGTTCTTTAAAAGTGATCACAGGAAACAGTTTTTATGTACAGACAGATGGACTGAAGGACACTCTAAAGTTATTTTTTAAACATCCCTGTTATCAAAATATAACATTTTTAAAATCCTATCATGATTGAAGAAGTTGGAGTAAAAATTACCAATTTCTCAAAAAAAAGTCTAAGTTCAAAAGGGGCATAATTCTGGAAATAGTCTTGCTAGAGTATTGAGCACTCACAAATGTTGAGTGACAATAAGAAACATTTATATGAAGTTTGAAGTAGATACATTCAGAAAAAGAAGTTATTAAAAAAAACAATGTTTTTTTCATGAAAATTTTAAGTTCAAGGGAGGTAATTCTGATAAATTTTGTGCTAGAGTTGTAAACTTTGTCACATATGATGTGGTTGATGACAAGCAACTTATATTTAAATTTTGAAGAAAATACCTTAAGAAATAAAGAACTTATAGTGAAACTAGAAATGTGTCCATAGGACAACGGGTGCCCCCACCGCGCCACTGTTCTGTCAATCTTTTTACTAAGTCAAGGGAAATAACTCTACAAATACTGGATAAATCCAAAAGCGAAACCCCAGGTGCAAATCAAAATATGCTGAGCAACCTGCCCATAAGGTTTAATGACTATGTCAAATCCTTTTTCAGTAACTTGAGACACAAGTTGAAAATTGCAAAAAATTTTCTAAGTGAAGGGCAATAACTCTAAAAGTACTAAATAAATCCAGACGAAAATACCTGGTGCACAACTGCACATGCTGATCAATATTCCTGTAAAGTTACATGACTCTAGTCAAATACTTTTTCAGTTACTTGCGACACATGTTGAAAATTGCAAAATTTTACTAAGTCAAGGGCAATAACTCTGACAATACTTAAAATATCCACACGAAAATACCCAGGTGCACAACAACACATGCTGATCAACATTCCTGTAAAGTTTCATGACTCTAGGTCAATAATTTTTGAGTTATATGCGACACAAGTTGAAAATTGCAAAATTTTACTAAGTCAAGGGCAATAACTCTGAAAATACTAAAAATATCCA